GAAAGCTGTCCATATGGAGGTAAACGGTCAGCTGTTAAGGGCGAAACTGAACAGTGTAGTACCACCCCGTAGCATTCATTTTAAGGACAAAATGCAGCCATACGTACTTCTGGCTACATATTTCGCGTTCTCCAGAAATGTACACATGGCTACGTTATCAGAATGAGCCGATGTTGGATTTTTTTTATGCACTGATGAGTCTTACACAATACAGAAACTCATAATAAAAGTGGATTTTTTTTGCGTTTTTTTCTTGATAATGAGCGTTCCCATGTTTCACAGGTTGGTAATGTGGCCTTGCTGGTTTTGCTTCTTCGCGTTTTCACTTCTAAACACTATTTCTCATACAATTTTGAGTCCCTTTACGTGACTTCTGTCCATTTTTCTCAGTCGTCTGGGCCGTAACTGTGGCCTGGCTCTACATTATACTACGTTTACATAGGCATGCACAATACAGTGTAACTATGAGCAATTACGAAGTTCATTTAAAGTGTAATCACACATGAAATACCTGAATAAAGCATGAATTGAGGACAACTACGGTCTTTCAAAGCGGTGTAGAAATCCTCCGAGACTTGTCGTTTGCATGTGCTGTGTTTTCTTTACGCTGAAATATGGTTTGATTTGTCTATTATAAATGTTCTAGAAGGCCCTTCTGGCAAACAGCATATCAGTGTAAGCCACTGAAATGAATTCAAAGCTTTACTATGGCACGATTTTTAGGCTGTTTCTAAATGATAAAGGTTTTCCTGAAGTCTCTCAAAACAGCCTGTTTTTTCTTTTTCTTCACTATGGAAACATTACTGTACCGCGAACAACAAAACCCTCTGTTTAGGCTTGTTGTTAACCTTGTTTTGAGATTCGGTAAAGTCTCAGTTATGTTTAGATTGTTTGGGAGGCGCATGACTGAAACAGCTTGAACGACAGTTCTGGTTAATAGTGATCGTGCTGTATGAAACGCATTCGTTTGATTCATGGATGTAAAACACTTATTTTAAACTAGCATATACATAATGCAATGGAATGCACATTAGCGGTGCGCAAGCTAATAAACAATGCAGCAAAAATAAATTCGTGCTTCGTGCTTGGCAGAATAAAATAAAAAATAAATAAACAAATAAAATAAGATACAATAAAATAAAATAAAATTAAATTATTTGAAAAATAAAATAAAGTGAGCAATGCTAATGTTAACATAATACTTTACATGGCAGGCTGTCATATAAAATAAAATACAATCTATTTAAAATTATAATGTGAGAGGTTATATACATTATATTTTAAAACATGCTGTGACCTTGTTAAGCTGAGATGCATAAATAAAAAAAAATATATAACAAATGTATAAAATATAATAAAACAATTTGACAGAAATGGTATTGTTAATGTTTTTGTATGCTTCGTAAACTGCAAAATGAATAAATAAACACAGAAATTTAAAAAAATATAATGTATGGTGTGCACTTAGTAAGCTGACATAAAAATGAAAACAAATGAATTGAAAAATACTATGTTAGTTATGATGTGCACTTAGTGAACAGATAATAATAATAATAATAATAATAATAATAATAATAATAATAATAATAAACAAGAAGAAGTAGAAGAAGAAAACAAATTTTGATGGACTTGGTAAACTTTTCTTTAAAAATAAAAAAATAAAAAAATAAAATTTATTATTGTTTTATTTTACCATATTCATTTTGCCATATTAATTAATTTACTGTATTAATTACCATAATTTTAACGCATGTCCTGGTGTGCACTTGGTAAGATGATAACTTAGTTATAATTGAATAAAACATTAATTAAAACAATCATTCTAATGAAAAATTGAGAGTAATGGTAATGTAAGACAAACTGTCTTAAATAAATAAAGAACAAAAATAAATAAATAAATAATAATTTTTTATGAAATTTATGAAATCAAATTAATAAACCATAACTTGAATGTAAGTCCCGGTGTGCACTTGGTTAGCTGATAACTTTGTTGCAATTAAATAAAAAAGTTATAATAAAAAATCTATAGTAATATTAATATAAGACCAACTGTCTTACATAAATATTAAAATTTAAAAATAAATAAATAAATAAATAAATAAATTATAAAAAACTAAATTTTATTAAATAAAAAAACAACAACATAATTTTAATGCAAGTCCCGGTGAGCTCTTGGCAAGCTGAAAACTTAGTTAGAATTAAACAAAAAAAAAAATTATAATAAAAGTAGAGAGAAATGTTAATGTAAGACCAACAGTCTTAAATAATGAATACAAATATCTAAAAAATAAAATAAAATAAAATACAATAAATAAACTGTCATTTTAATGCATCAAGTATCGGTGTGCACTTGGTAAGCTGATAACAGTTATAATTAAATAAAACATTCATTAAAAAATTAATTCTGATAAAAACATTCCAAACATAACTGAGACTAAAATCCCGAAATCCTCGAATAAAAGGTTAAAACCAAACACTGAGAGTTTTAGCATCGCACAGACAAAATTTCCAAGTAAAACTGTGCAGCTCAATAAAAACTGGAGCCATTGTTTGGCAAAAATCCCCATGTTCGCTGTGGTCACGATCAGTTTACAATATGGCGCGTGAGTGAAATGATATCGCGATGGATCGAATGCCCATTTCTCCTCTTTCAGAAAGATGAACAGCAATTCAGACTGTGCCTGATTCAATATCAACACACTTCATAATCTATAACAACAGCCTAAAATACCCACTAAACAACATCCTTCTCTCCAACCCCCTGCAAACTAGTTTCCCGCCAAAAACAAAAGGTCAATAAAACACACCCCGAAATCCCTACACCTATACACCCTGAATTAATCGCATCTAACTCTTAACTGCCATATTTATATGAAGTAGCATGTATGTAGCGTAAGATAGTCGTAATATTGTACATGGTTAATTAAAAAGATTTGGTCCTCTGGTCCCTATAGAGAGAGAATCTGCGTCATTTACACTTTATCTTAGTTTGTTTTCCCATTGAAACCCTCATTAAAAGCTACGGCCGTCTGATGATATGTGCACGGATCCATTTTTTTTCTTCTCCAGTCGCAGCCATGCACGTTTGTAAATCCACAAGTGTTCGCCGGGAAGAGAAAAAAGTTTTCGTCTCCGTCGTCACTCACAGTCTTTCATCGCAGTTTGGTTTTCGACGCGATATGCTTCTCAAAAACTCTCTTTTGTTGTTGTCTTCAGTGTGTGTGTGTGTGTGTGTGTGTGTTTTCGTGTGTAAGTAGTTGTTTTTTTTTTCAAGAAAAGTTTCCATCCGTCAAAAACGTCAAGACTACAAGTGTTGCAAACCTGCCAGAAAAAAACAGAGAGAGAGAGAGAAATGTCAGGTTATTTATTTATTTATTTTTTTAGAAGGGGGGATTTTGGCTCTGGAGACTTGGCTTCTCGCTGACAGACTGATACCTGGATGTCAAACCGAGAGCATCAGTCACAGCGAGCGTCAGAAATGATGGAGATGACATGAAACAGGCCTGCTGAGAGATTTCATCATCCCTGCCAGAGCTTCAAGCAAACATTTGACTGGTTTTGTCGGGAGAGTTTAGCGGAGAGGAGTTTTTATAAGGAGAGATGACTTTATTCGGTGTGTAGTCACACCGCGAGATGAAGCTGTGCAGATCATCTGGCTCATAAATGATAAATTAGTATGTTCATGTAACGGAGGCCAGGTAGTAAGTGCTGTGCAGGTAAACCTCACTCCTCTGACCTCTAAAGGTGCTCTAGCGACAGACGCTAGAGGTCATGGTATTTAGCCTCCTTGTTGGAGCAACCGAGTCCCATGCGGAAGGTCTCCAGTTCGATCCCAGCTTGGAGCAGGTTGGGTGCCGTAGGACCGGCGGGGTTACATTGGTGCCGTGACCCGGATGGGAGTGAGGTTTAGGAGGGTGAGTGTAACGGAGGCCAGCTAGTAAGTGCTGTGCAGGTAAACCTCACTCCTCTGACCTCTAAAGGTGCTCTAGCGACAGACGCTAGAGGCCATGGTCTTTAGCCTCCTTGGTAAAGCATCCGACTCCCATGCGGAAGGTCGCCGGTTCGATACCAGTTCGGAGCGGGTTGGGTGGCGTATGACTAGCGGGTTTACATTTACATGGACAATACTCTGGCGGCATTCCAAACCGCCTTCTACTCAGTAGGTACTGCATTTGAATTTAAACGTACTTCTCGGCCGTTGGAAAAGTGCGTTCAATACAATATGAATGTGAAAAGTATAAATGGAATTCGAACATACTACATCTGCCATTTTGTCATGGTCACGTGACCTACCTGCGTCATACAATTCATGAATTCTCTCGCGGTGCATTATGGGATAGCGCAGCGTGCATGGGATGCGCACTCCAGAATCTCGCTGGAAGTAGTAAGTCATCTGGGTACTTCTCGCATACTGATTTTCGAATTCTATGAATTCAAACATACTAATCGGCTCACATGCTGATTTTAGCGTACTATATAGTATTGAAGTATGCGGTTTCGGACACAGCCTCTGATTCTACCTGGTAAACAGCGATTTCTGATTACCTTAATCCAACCAAAGTCATAATCGAACTAAACAGAAATCGGATTAAGACTTGTGGAGAATGCTGATTTTACTCTACTATACAGGGACAGTGTACTGTCAGTGAGCGCCGTCTTATGGATGAGACGTTAAACCGAGGTCCTGACTCACTGTGGTAATTAAAAATTCCATGGAACGTAAAGAGTAGGGGTGTAACCCTGATGTCTTGGCCACATCTGCCCTCACCCATGTAGAATTTTACATTTTCTCAAGCGAGAATGACCTCGACTGAAACTTTCTCTCATACACCACGCCATTGGTACCCTTTTGGCAGTGGAAATGCAAGCCTGATAAAGGTGACCCTTACCGACCCGTAACGTACCACTCAATGAAAACGGACCATTAAAAATATGTATGTGTGTCTCCTCTCACCTCTCCTGATGGCTGCGGGTGTGTGTGTGTGCTTCTCTGGCTCTGGTCAGTACGGGCGGCTGGCGTCTTTCGGCCGCTTCAGCTGCACTTTCAAGCGCTTCATGCCGATCTGGAAGCCGTTCATGGCCTGGATGGCAGCCTGAGCGCTGGCGGGGTTATCGAAACTCACGAATCCTGCAGACAGCACAGACGCACACCGGCCTCAAAGTCTACATTTGCTCATTTTTAATTCATGCAAAGGAAATGGACAACAGATCCTCAAGGAAACAAGCAGACGGTGAAGACTTAATCAAATTAAACTAATTGGAGAAAGAGAGGGATGAATACAAATATTGAAGTCAAAATTATTAGCCCCCCTGTATTTTTTTATTACAATTTCTGTTTAACGGAGAAAAGATTTTATTCAACACATTTCTAATCATAATAGTTTTAATAACTCATTTCTAATAACTGATTTATTTTATCGTTGCCATGATGACAGTAAATAATATTTGACTAGATATTTTTCAGGATACTATTCAGCATTTAAAGGTTTAACTAGGTCAATTAGGCAAGTTATAGTAATCAGGCAATCATTGTATAATGATGGTTTGTTCTGTAGACAATCGGAAAAATAAATATACTGCTTTGGGGGGCTAATAATATTGACCTTAAAATGGTTTTAAAAAATTAAAAGCTGCTTTTATTCTAGCCGAACCAATAAGGCTTTCTCCAGAAGAAAAAATATTATAGGAAATACTTGTGAAAAATTCCTTGCTCTGCTAAACATAATTTGGGAAATATTTGAAAAAGTAGGGCTAATAATTGACCCCTCGCTAAGCCATACCCAAAAACCGCCACCCACCAATCGTGGCTTAGCAACCGTAGCTACACGCAGAGGCTCTGTCAAGCTTTCAAGCAAGGAAAACAGGCCAGAGCGTTGTGCTTATGGACTGTGCAAATCTGACACCCGGTCTCCTAAAAGTTTCGACAGGATGATGGAATTTTTTCCCCTTTTCAATACACAAAAACCCAAGAGGAGAAATGCCAACGTGAATCAAGCTGTGTGAGGGGCACAGCTTTTTGTTTTGATATTTCTGACACATTCAGTGACCGACGGCAATAACTCACACACCTCTTACCCTTAACAGATCTAAACTGTGTTTCCTAGCAGGTTATGTTTCCCAGCTGTCTTTTCCTTTTTTTTTTTTGCTCGATATTATGAGCACTGCTCTGTTAAAGCGTTCGCCATGAATAACGTTAGTCATACTACACTGAAAAAAGTGTTGCATGCAGAACTGTTGCAAACAGTTTATTTGTGTTGAATTTAAACGAACAAATTAGGTTTAATAATGTTCAACTTAATTTGTTTGTTTAAATTCAACACAAATAAATTGTTAAGAACCACTTAACGTAAAAAAAAATTGAGTAAATCTAAGGAATCATCTTTGAATAATTTTTTTTCAGTGTAATAGCGAATAAGTCATAATGACATGAGTTATTGATCCGGAAAAATACGAATCTGCGAATCTGTTGCTAACTTTACTGAACTTCATATTTGCATCTATTTAAAGCTACAAATATTTAAAATTACAAATCAACAGAACAAAACCGAGATATGATCACAAACTGAACACTTGCGATCAATATACTTTACCAGCAGCTGTTTTTCAGTCATTTATAAAGAGCACACAAACATACTGACAGTTATAGGTGACTTACTGTACAGTTACATGTCAATGATGCTAATATTCGGCACTAATCCATCAGTTTCCCCCTTCTGGCTGTTCTTTCTATGAATGAACTATATAAAAGCTCTGTCCATGCGTGTTTCCTTGTCAGTTAGCAACGCTATTTTTCATTGCACAGCAATAACATTAGTCTATCAAGCTTATTGGCTAAAAATAAAGAAATCACGATTTAATTATTTATTATTGTTATAATTAGATTATTTTTAAATGTCACCTTTCCTGCTGTGCATGACCTAAGCTGTTGATTGGTCAGCGTATGAGGCGGCTAGGCTAAGCTTGCTTAAATTTTTATTGTATTATTTTCTAATCGGTTGCCTATTATGTCGTGAATATACCCCTGTAATGCATACTGCATTGCTTTTTTGTCTGGCCTGTCTCACCTGTTCGCCAAAAATGACATTATATCCCTGGCCATGTCTGACACCGGTGCTTAAACATTGTAAAAGCCGTGCCAAGCAAGAAAGCTTGACAGGCGTAGCAACAGTAACTACCCTGCTGAAAAATCCAGCTTAAACCAGCTTAGGCTGGTTGTAGCTGGTTGACCAGCCTGGTTTTAGAGGGGTTTTGGCCATTTCCAGGTTGGTTTCCAGCCATTTCCAGCCTGGTCTTAGCTGGTCAGGCTGGAAAATGACCAGCCAAATCCAGCTAAAACCAGCTTGACCAGCCTGGTTTAAGCTGGATATAGCTGGTTTTGGCTGGACTCCCAGCTTGGCTAGGCTGGTCAAGCTGGTTTTAGCTGGTCATCTCCCAGCCTGACCAGCTAAAACCAGGCTGGAAATGGCTGGAAACCAGCCTGGAAGTGGCCAAAACCCCTCTAAAACCAGCCTGGTCGACCAGCTAAAACCAGCCAACCAGCCTAGGCTGGTTTAAGCTGGATTTTTCAGCAGTGTAAGGAGGGCGGGGCTTAGCAAAGGGTAAGTTGTGACTTCAACTGTACATGGTAGGCCATTTAAATGGATACACCTTAATAAAATGGGAATGGTTGGTGATTAACATCCTGTTTGTGGCACATTAGTATATGTGAGGGGGCAAACTTTTCAAGATGGGTGGTGACCATGGTGGCCATTTTGAAGTCGCAAGAAAAACAATGGTTTTTTTGGTTTTAACGTAACTTCATTCTTTCATGAGTTATTTACAAGTTTCTGACCACTTATAAAATGTGTTCAATGTGCTGCCCATTGTGTTGGATTGTCAATGCAACCCTCTTCTCCCACTCTTCACACACTGATAGCAACACCGCAGGAGAAATGCCAGCACAGGCTTACTGTATCCATAGTTTCAGGTGCTGCACATCTTGTATCCTCACACCATAGACAATTGCCATTGTTTTTTGGTGAAATTTCTAAATAGTTTGATGTGTCAAATGACCCTCTTCCTAATGAAAAAACAAAAGTTGGATCCAAGATGGCCGACTTTAAAATGACCACCACCCATCTTGAAAAGTTTGCCCGCTCACATATACTAATGTGCCACAAACAGGATGTTAATATCATCAACAATTCTCACTGTATTAAGGTGCATCCATATAAATGGCCCACCCTGTATATAAGTTGAGTGTGTGTGAAAGCAGGAGGGCGTGGCTTACCGAAACACTTGCTCTGATTGGTGGCTCTGTCCATGAACACCTTTGACGAGATGACAGATCCGAATGGAAGAAACATCTGCATGAGCTCATTATCACCAAACTCCTGCGGCAGGTGATAAATGAACAGGTTGCAGCCTTCAGGACCTGAAAACGCACACACATATTTAATATGCTGGCAACGAACTTCTTCATGAAAGTGCTATAAACAATGTGCATTAGGCATGGTGTCCTTGCTTAAACCAGCCTAAGCTGGTTGGCTGGTTTTAGCTGGTCGACCAGCCTGGTTTTAGAGGTGTTTTGGCCACTTCCAGGCTGGTTTCCAGCCATTTCCAGTCTGGTCGTAGCTGGTCAGGCTGGGGGATGACCAGCTAAAACCAGCTTGACCAGCCTAGCCAAGCTGGGAGTCCAGCCAAAACCAGCTATATCCAGCTTAAACCAGGCTGGTCAAGCTGGTTTGGGCTGGATTTGGCTGGTCATTTTCCAGCCTGACCAGCTAAGACCAGGCTGGAAATGGCTGGAAACCAACCTGGAAATGGTCAAAACCCCTCTAAAACCAGGCTGGTCGACCAGCTAAAACCAGCCAACCAGCCCAGGCTGGTTTAAGCTGGATTTTTCAGCAGGGTTAAGATACAGCCATTATAAAACACACCTAAGTGAAGTTTTTCAAACTCATTTCGAGAGGAGCACGTGATATAATTGACTGCAGCTGGCCTCCCATCTACACTAATTACTTAGCCAATCAGATCTATCATAACTCACTATAAGTAGCCTAGCTAGATTTACTCCCTTATCTTCGTTTTCTGAAGAAACCCCCCATCCACCCCTTTCTCCTCCTTTCCTCCCTTCAAAAAGGGGAGCTCTTGAGAACCACCTGATCTCGAACACCCCTCACATGCTCTATGGACCTGGCAGGAGCCCTGGGCTCAACTATCTCCGAGCTCAGGGTTCTCTCCCGGGACAGCATGCCAAACCTGCTAACAGTTGTCAAACAATATCTAAGTGTGAACTCTTGAAAAACTGTTTATTTCTTTAACATTGTTTTATTTGTTCACTTGTTTTCCTTCGGCTTATTATCTTAATTCATCAAGGGTCACCACAGCACAATGAACCACCAACTTATCCAGCATATGTTTTACAAAGTGGATGCCCTTCCAGCTGCAACCCAGTACTGGAAAACATCCATACACACTCATTCACACTACGGCTAATTTACTTTATCTAATTCCCCTTTAGCGCATGTGTTTGGACTGTGGGGGAAACCGGAGCCCCCGGAGGAAATCCACACCAAATGGGGAGAACATGCAAACTCCACACAGAAACACCAACTGATCCAGCCGGGACTCGAACCAGCGACCTTCTTGCTGTGAGGCGACAGTGCTAACCACTGAGCCACCGACAATGAATGTGTATTTTGCAATTAATACAGGATTGCCAAGTCTGCTTCAGGTTTCCACGAAATTGGGCTACATTTAATTACTTGTAACGGCTTTAATTTTTTACTCCGCCGGTTAAAGGTTTGACATATTGCGTTAATTATATTCATTCATTCATTTTCTTTTCAGCTTAGTCCCTTTATTAATCTGGGGTCGCTACAGCGGAATGAACCACCAACTATTCCAGCATTTGTGTTACGCAGCGGATGCCTTTCCAGGCACAACCCATCACTGGGAAACATCCACACACACTCATTCACACACACACACTCATACACTACAGTCAATTCTAGCTTACCCAATTCACCTATACAACATGTCTTTGGACTGTGGGCCTAACCAGAGCACCCGGAGGAAACCCACACGGCATGCGAACACAGGGAGAACATGCAAACGCCACACAGAAATGACAACTGACCCAGCCAAGGCTCGAACCAGGGATCTTCTTGCTGTGAGGTGAACGTGCTACCCACGGCGCCTCCCGCAAAAATTATATTTACATGATATTTGTTCATTCATTCATTCATTTTCTTGTCGGCTTAGTCCCTTTATTAATCCGGGGTCGCCACAGTGGAATGAACCGCCAACTTATCCAGCAAGTTTTTACGCAGCGGATGCCCTTCCAGCCGCAACCCATCTCTGGGAAATAGATATTTGTTATGATATAAAATTGATATCCGATCATTGATAAACACACTGTGCGAGGATGATGAAATAGAGCAAACACATTTTGTGAGGTGCAGGAGCTCTACAGGCTGTTTTAGTTTCCACGGTAACAGATCAGCAGAACCGTCCAGGATTGTTTATAAATAATAACAGCAAAATCATATGTGATCTACAGAAGAGTGTCAGTCGATTTACAAAGGCTGTTTCTCAATATGCGTTCTTCAGCGGTCTTGCGTCCTCGTGTTCTCGTGCAACGTCATCATCAGCTGCCTTAGTTCAGTTCCAGTACTCAAGACCGCAAGTACGGAGGACGCGTGAAACCTCCCGGATGTGATCTTGATATCGAGGACGCACCGATGCAGAATTGAGCACCGAACTCGCACTGGAAGTCCCAGAAGTCATTGCGACTGGAGGTGGAAAGTGCAGCATTTTATTTAGATTTATTATTAAAGTTCAGAGATATCACTTATTTACCTCAGGAGTTTCCCTAAATAAAATGGTGAAAGTAAACATTAACATCTTAATAAAGGTATTAACACATTAAGGGTGTTTGTTTGCTGAAATTCGTATTAAAATGTGTTTTATTTATATTGTGCAGGGTATATTTATAATGCTTTTATGCACAGTATATATTTTGAAGAGGGGAAAAACAATAAATCGTTGTATGAGTGCTGTAATGTTTCAATAATTTCCATTTAAAACGCATGAAGGTCATGTGACCATCAGGAAGAACGCAGCATCTCATTTCTCAAAGGACGCGTTCTCTGCCCTCGCGGTCTCCTGAGTTCGTTCTTCCGAGGACACCTGGCAAGACCGGTCTCCATAAGAGCGCAAGTCCGTTCTCTGCGTTCTTGGAATTGAGAAACAGCCAAATTAATTATTTTTATTAACTCTTTTAATTGAACTTAATTTCAGAAGTTTGGAGTTTACTTCAGCCAGAGTTTGTAAATCATTTTGGCATTTACACTAGATGGCACAGGGCAGTCACATGACATCATGCCTGCTGGGCTGTAAACCTTAAGGATGGCAGATTTTTTAGGATAATCCGAATATAAAATTATTTTAAATGAAGAAATGAATCATGCAAATTATGCCAAATGTGTATATTTTACGAATGGGCAGTGACATATTTTGAGGTTTGATAGGCTCATGATGGAGTCAGACACAATATTCATTCTGTTTCCACTGCAGCAAGACTTTATATTCTATACTGGACATTATTTCTGTTCAGTGACGAGACTTTTGTCTAAGCAAAGTCAGACTTTACTGTCCTAATTAAATAATTAAAAATGAAGGCATGATCATATTTTGTTTTGGTAAAATAAGCGTAATCTAGAGGCCTTTACCTTTCATATAAGCCACTTCTGATACCAAATGACAAACTAGAAATCAAGTTATTATTTGTATTTCCTGAAACCTGGATAGGCGACAAGACTTTTGTCAGGTAGTTGTAGTTTACTCAAACACATAGTAAACTGAATACCTCAAAAAATCACATTCTAAAAGTGGTGTAATCAAAAGTGAGGATTCTAAAACGGAACTCAGTTGCAACACAGGAAAAAGAGTTACTCTTTGATACTCCTAGACAGGAATATATACAGCATGAAGTGAATTTCATTCGGAGAGAGCTACTACAGGGAGGCATTTTACCTTCTCTCTGCTGCTGCTGTTGCTGCTGGATGATCTGCGCAGGCTGTGGCAGTGTCTGGCCTATAGGGGTCAGTGTTGTGGCAGGATATATGGCTGCGCAAGCATACAGGAGGAAGAGAAAGAGGGACAGATGAGGCAAGAATAAGGACAAGACGAAGGCTGACCTTTATATGCTAATGAAATATGACAGGATCACAGTGCAATGAATTCTGAAGGCACGTTCATCATATATCAAACTGATTCAAAGCGGCAGATCTCCAGGCGTCCGTATGATAGCTGTAATATCCAGAAAATTCAAATACAACCTGAGGTTTCAATCACAGCAAAGTCACCTACTAGCAATAACACTGCGCCAGGAAAGTTATTTTTCTGTCAAAGTGACATTTGAGGGGGAAAAAAATATCAACCGCAGTGGATGAAACGTCTCAAATTAGATTTTTTTTAAACATCGGATCATTTCTGCCGAATGAGATTACATGGAGAGCAAATGTTTTTTGAACAAACGTCTCAAACTGAGCTCGGGTTGAGAGATATGCTTACATGATTTCTCCTGAACACCAAGATTTTAGCGTGTGTGTGAGTGTGTGTGTGTGCGTCAGTGTTTGTTTACATTTCGTCACCTTAGAATTAAAAGGTTCTATCTGCGTTCTGAATGATTTTGAGATATTGAGCTTTAAAGTTTTTGCATTCTATATAGCAAACAACATGTGTGTAACAGATCTTTTTCATACATTAACATGACAGAGACCCTAGGGGTTCTCTAAATGTAAATTATGAAAGTTCTCTTACATTTGCAAAATGGAGTAAATAAACCACGGTAAATGCAGATAGAACCTTCTCATTCTGAAAAGTCATTTTCCGCTTGGAATTATAAGGTTCTATCTGGCAGATCATTCATTGAAGCATTACTTATCAAAAAATACAATAAAAATATATATAGTTTAGTGTTGTAAAAACATGTTTATGCTTGAGAAAGTTAAAATTTTGTTTTCTGTAACATTTCATGTTTTAGGATGAATATTTTTTCTTAATTTTCTTAAATTAAGCATACAAGGCTGTACTATTTTTTTTCCAGTGCAGCTGTTAATTTTATCTAATTAATACATTCATATTTATAAAATGTTATGCTCTAAATAAATTATTAAATTATATTTATTAAATTATATGCCCCATGAAATAAATTAAGTATTTGCCCTTCAAGGCTTAATATTAAACTTATAGACTTTAAAAGAAACAGACTATGAGCAAATGAGTTTAATAAACACTGAAAAGTGTTTTACTGACTATATATACACAAATAAAAATATTTCACATTTAATATACACATTTTTAAATATTCATTTCTTTTTCAGCAATATAAAATTAAGCATTTCATCTCAATGTTTGTGACGCATTGACGCAGTGGGAAGCACGATTGTCTCACATCAAGAAGGTCGCTGGTTCGAGCCTTGGCTGGGTCAGTTGGCATTTTTGTGTGGAGTTTGCATGTTCTCCCCGTGTTTGCGTGGGTTGTCTCTGGGTGCTCTGGTTTCCCCCACAAGTCAAAAGACATGCGGTACAGGTGAATTGGATAAGCTAAAATAGGCCATAGTGTATATGTGTGATTGAGTGTGTATAGGTGTTTCCCAGTGTTGGGTTGCAGCTTGAAGGGCATTTGCTGTGTAAAAAAAAACATATACTGGATAAGTTGGTGGTTCATTCCGCTGTGGCGACCCAAGATTAATAAAGGGACTAAGTCGAAAAGAAAATGAATGAATTAATTTCAGTGTGAAGAAATGTTTCTAAATCATTACATTTACACACATTTCAATTTTGTGTGGTGTGGCATTATTTAGTCGACTCTGATTTTGTGTGATTTTGTCTTTCTGGTGTTTCCTGCTGTCAATGGAGCAGTCCGGCGAAATGACAAAGAAAGCTTATCCTGATTGGTCCTCGTGCATGCATTAAAAATGCTGATTGGCTCACAGATAGAACCTTATAGAGCCAAGCTAGAGTTCAACTTTGTAGATACACCTTTTTTGTTTTTTAAATAAAAAGCCTAAAATGTAAACAACATATAAAAACACATCCCATAATGTAAATAAGTTGCCATTTAAAAAGAATATGTGAATAACTCAACTTTGACAAAAATGTCAGATAGAACCTTATAATTCTACGGCGGCGATTTGTAGTTTGATTCTTTTTGGTTCATTTGTTTGTAACTGGATGACATGGTGGCTCAGTGGTTAGCCCTGTCACCTCATAGCAAGAAGGTCGCTGGTTCAAGTCCCGGCTGGGTCAGCTGGCGTTTCTGTACAAACCAGTCCAAACCAGGCCCGTGCACAGACCCTTACAGGGGCAGGTGCTCAACGCAATCGAAAATTAAAGAGAGGGTGGGGGTGTGGTGGGATGATGTGAAGTGAATGCCGGCAGGGGGGGTGGTGGTATGCGCAATCGCAAAGTGAAGTGCGGGGGGAGGGAGGGGTGGAGCGTAGGTTGGGGGGTGAGGGGTGTGTGTGTTGGATCGCAAAGTGAAGGGCGGGGGTGGTGGGGTTGAGAGAAGGGTGGGGGTCGGTCAAGCGAGTGCCTGCTGAGAGTGGCACCTCAGCCAATGCGGGCAGAGGGGCAGTGGCTCTAGCCACCGGGCCACCCCCCTGTGCACGGCCCTGGTCCAAACACATGCACTGTAGGTGAATTGAATCAACTAAAGTCGCCGTAGTTTGTAAATGAGGGTGTATGGATGTTTCCCAGTACTGGGTTGCAGCTGGAAGGGCATCCACTGAGTAAAAAATATGCTGGCGGTTCATTCCACTGTGGCGACCTCTGATGAATAAAGGGACTAAGCTGAGGTAAATTAAATGAATGAATGTTTGTAACTGGTGTTGGGTGCTTTGTTACACACTCAGTACTAAAAAAGTTAAATAAATACAGTATCAGGTTTTCTTAAAGGGCCATGAAACCCCCTTGTTTCAGCAGGATGTTTTCACACATCTACTTTGGAAAAAGTCAGAAAAGTGGGTGTGTCCAGCTGTGTTTAGGGGGAGTGTCGGAGGAACTAAAGTGGGATGGTGTGGGAGTGTCTATTTGGGCACGCACGAGTTTCAGAGTCAAAACAAACACACACACACACACACACACAAACACGTGAGAAAGTGATAGTGTAAACATGGAAATCTGTAGTCGAATTATTTGCCAAATTATTAAATGGTGGACTTTAACTGCAGTTTGGCTCTTTCATTCAGGAAATTCATTCATGTCCCTCGCGAAAAACGAGATATTTGATTCGAGGAACTGCTCTAAGCGTGTATTTTTCATGCAATGTTTGAAACCGCACGGCGAATGAGAGAAAAAAAAACCTTCAGCATTTCCCGGAAACTTAGATGCACACAGCAGGTAGTGCCAGAAAGCCGCGTGTGTTATTCCGGTCACTAAATGCGGCGAAAATCCTACACGAGGTTAAAGTTTGGTTGTGGTGCTAACATGTTTACACTCGGTGCAATAGTTAACTTAGTTCGATACGAACAAACTAAATAAACAAAGAGCGCTGGTCGCTCACTTACCAAATCTGTAGAGACAGGACAATCACCAGCAACTAGAGCCGCGTCTTTATTTAGAGGAGACTACAAGCGTCGCGTACACTGTTAATCCACACGTGACTCCAGCTGCGCTCTCACAGAGAGAAAATGAAAACAAAACTTAACGGCAGCAAACTATAAAAGCAACACTTCACGCTTGTTTTGCCAACACAACGTGGCGTCTCTGTCGTCTAAACACTGTGACAGTAATGAATATTAATGAAGTTGCACAATAGAGCGCGCTGATTGGTTTGAACCAAGCCTTACTCATGCATTAATGCATCACACTGTAAGACGTAATAAGACACGCTCTGGCACAGACGTCCAGTCTGCACGCTGGAATACAACGCTATTATGTCATGACCGTGACGCAGCTTCAAAAATCCGTTTCAAACCGGAAGTACGAATTTGCTTGAAATAACGCAAAAAACAACCAATTTACACTTTTTAGTGAAATATAGGTGTCCTAATAGTGTTTTTTAGCAGTGTGGGACACATATACGACTGTCAACAGCTCAAAAAATGTGTTTTGGTGTTTCGTGACCCTTTAAGTACTGGAGGTACCAAGGACCAAGTCAGCCCAGTTCTAGATGCAATCAGTGAAAGTTGCCAATTACACAGTTTAAAATTTCGTCCTGGTGTGTTTGTTGTTTTTTTCCTGGCATGGTGTTCTCGTTCTTAGCGCTTCCGTCGGTTGGCACTTGGATCGGAAACATGCATGCCGCATGTGAGAGCACAGTAAGTGCACTGTAAGTGGTTTCTTTTATCCTGAGCTTGTGTCTTGCGTCCTGTTTGTGTTGTGTTGAGCACGTGGTTCAGGTTTACATGCGCCGCATGCTTTAGTGTTGAGTTTTATGTAAACGTGCAGTTAATGAGTTCTCTCATTGGCTGCGTACTCTAGTCCTGAGCACATGGCTTGTGTTGTGACTTTGTACCATGTGCTCTCCCGTCTATTGTCTTGTCGCACCCACCTTGTTATCTCATTATTTATCGTTATGTTCACCTGCCCTCTTGTCAGTTTATTGGTTTGCTGTTTTTATTTGTTCTCCTAGTGTGCTTTGTCTGGTGCTGGTCCATCATCGTTGTTCTTCTGTCCGTCAAGTCAAGCCAAGCCAAGCCGAGTCAAGTCAAGTCGAGTTAGTTTTGTTTTGTTGCTATATTTTCCACCCACAGGGTTGTCGCTTTTTGTTTTTTTTAAATATTAAAATTTTTTGTTCTACGCATTTGGGTCCTCGCTACATCCTTCCCAACACCCAACCCTGACAGTATTGCTGAGTTTCTGAAATTTTTTACAGCATTTTCCCAAAATATATGTAAAGTTTTGCCCAGATTGTATAGTTGAGTTAAGTTATGTCAAAGTAAGATTTGTCACCTAAAATCATTCCATTTGCTGAAACACAAAGAAAGTTGTGGCCCAATAAAAACTAAATTAAGACTTTTACCTTTTCCCAACAGGGAAAACCAGCAACAATCAAGAATGCATGCAATGCATTTGGTGTCGTGGCTTTGCAATCAAAACATGTGATTATAATAGAAGTCAATGGCCCCAAAACAGCCACCAACATAATGAAAGGATAGTCAGTTTAAACACTACACAAAGTTTTCGAGAAGAGCATCTTTGAGAAACGAGCACCTGTGTATTGCTGGACGCCAGTGAATGCTTGCTGGAGCGTGTCGGCTGCGGTTGGGCTCTGGGTCGAGTACGGCGGCAACCCATTGGTGTAAACCGCCTCCACCGGATGACCATTGGGTTGGTGCGGGATCCCGCTGAATCCGTTCACTATTGGGGTCACGATGCTTGGCACGGCGGAGGAAGCCAGATTAGCCGGAGGAGAGCTCAAACCTGCGGACGATAAAATAAAGAAACTCTTCAAACTTTTCAAACCTTTTTATTATTACGTCTGTAATTCAAATATTTTTCCAAATGATGTTTAACAGAGCAGACATTTTTTCAGTTTTTCCTAAATTTTTATTTTTTTTCTGAAGAAAGTCTGAAAGAATGTCTGTAACATTACAAAGCGTACCCTAGTCTAGCCTTGCAGTGTTGATGTTGTTTTGTCGCCTGTATTGACCTTATTGCCTGTGATCTATGGTTTTGGATTATCCTCATGCTACCGTTTGCTCCTGTTATGACAGACTGACTAAGTTGTAAATAATCTGCATTTGCAATAGTCCTATCTCTTGCAAATAACCGGAAAACACTCACTATCACCCGAACTACAATTTTACCACTGAACTGCACTACATTTTACATAAGGCACCTAACATACACACCAGTTCTGGTTCACCCCTGATTACTTGCACATGGCTGCAGCTCATGAAGACTTATTAGTTCCATTACCTCACATTCTCACACATATTGCTGAGTCTTGTTGGTCTGTAACATTACAAAGTGTACCCTAGTCTAGCCTTGCTGTGTTTTCTGACCCTTGTTTTGTCCTTTGTTGATGTTGTTTTGCCACCTGTATTGACCTTATTGCCAGTGACCTCGACCTACGCTTTTGGATTACCCTCATGCTACCTTTTGCTCCTGTTTTGACCATTTGAAAAAGTTGTAAATAATTTGCATTTGCAATAGTTCTTGCTCTTGCAGATCACTGGAAAACACTCACTTTCACCAGAACTGCAATTCTACCACTGAACTGCACAACATCTCCTGTCAGGCACCTCAAACACATACCAGTTCAGGATCACCCCTGATTACTTGCACACGGCTGTATCTCTTGAAGATTGATTAGTTGGACTATCTCACATTCACACATATATTGCTGAGTCTTGTTTGCCTGTAAAGTTACAAAATGTACCCTAGTCTAGCCTTGCCGTGTTTCCTGACTCTTATTTTGTTCTGTGTTGATGTTGTTTTGCCACCAGTACTGACCTTTTTGCTTGTGACCTCGACCTACGCTTTTGGATTACCCTCATGCTACCGTTTGCTCTTGTTTTGACCATCTGACAAAGTTGTAAATAATCTGCATTTGCAATAGTTCTAGCTCTTGCAAATCACTGGAAAACACTCACTATCACCTGACCTACATTTCAGCCATTGAACTGCACTACATTTCCCATCAGTCACCACACACACATGCCAGTTTTGGATCACCCCTGATTACTTGCACCTGGCTGTATCTCTTGAAGATTGATTAGTTGGACTATCTCACATTCACAAATATATTGCTGAGTCTTGTTTGCCTGTAAAGTTACAAAGCGTACTCTAGTCTAGCCTTGCCGTGTTTTCTGACTCTTGTTTTGTTCTGTGTTGATGTTGTTTTGGCACTAGTATGGACCTCTTTGCTTGTGACCTCGACCTACGCTTTTGGATTACCCTCATGCTTACGTCTGCTCCTGTTTTGAACGTCTGACAACGTTGTAAATAATCTGTATTTGCAATAGTTCTATCTCTTGCAGATCACTGGAAAACACTCACTATCACCCAAACTACAAGTCTGCCATTGAACTGCACAACATTTCTCATCAGGCACCTCACACACATACCAAATCTGTATCACCCCTGATTACTTGCACACAGCTGTAGCTCATAAAGACTGCCTATATTGACCTCTTTTGCATGTGACCTCGACTACCCTTTTGGATTACCCTCATGCTACTGTTTGCTCCTGATTACACCACTGCCTGTCTGACAAAGTTGTAGATAATCTGCATTTGGACATTGTACCCAAACTCCTTTTAACAATTAACTTTGTTAGGCCTTTAAATTGCACTTTAAAATATGAAAATATTGTCAAAATTATGCTGTTTTGTTATTCTAGCAGTATTTTATTGAGTAGCAATTGCTGTTTTTGGTAATAATCATATATATTTCCATACATATTACCATATAATAATAATAATAAT